TTGAGTTCTCACGGTTGTGTTCATTTCGGCCGTGAACTTTCCCGATTTCTTTGAGTGCTCTAGAGAATTAGCCTTAATTCTCATAGGAAGCGGCCCCACTTCCACACTCAAATAGGTGCTTCTATCAAGGATGCACTGTATTTAAACACCCCACTGAATATCAGCTATAGAAAGCATTAAGAGCATTAGCTCATCCTCTAATCAATACAGTTTGTACTACTCATCATAGGGAGGGGTTTGAAATAAATTCAATGTAGTACCCCCACAGATCACTCCAATAACTTTGTTATCCCATTGAACCTTATCCATGGGATCTCCAATCGCAAGGTTGGGTTTCCATTATAGGTGATCTAATTTATAATAGGCTTTAGCCCCATCCCCCTCGATGTTTTCTGAACTAGCTCTCTAGCTAATCCTTTTGTTAATGGGTCAGCAATATTATCACTTGACTTCACATAGTCAATAGCTATAACCCCATCCTTAAGCAGCTGACGCACAGTATTGTGCCTCCTACGAATATGTCTAGACTTTCCATTGTAGGATGAATTTTGAGCTCTTGCAATAGCTGCTTGACTGTCACAATGGACATAGATAGCTGGAAGTGGTTTGGACCACAAAGGAACATCCATAAGAAAATTCCTTAACCATTCAGCCTCTTCACCTGCCTTATCTAATGCTATGAACTCTGATTCCATAGTAGATCTCGCAATGCAGGTTTGCTTAGTGGATTTCCAAGATACGGCACCACCCGCTAATGTAAAAACATAGCCACTTGTAGATTTAGTTTCATTGGTATCTGAAATCCAATTAGCATCACAATATCCCTCAAGTACAGTAGGATATTTAGTATAATGTATTCCCCAGTCTATAGTGTATCTCAAATACCTCAAGACTCGAATGAGAGCATCCCAATGTTCACTATTAGGATTACTAGTATACCTGCTAAGTCTACCGACGGCATATGCTATATCAGGTCTGGTACAGTTCATGAGATACATGAGACTGCCGATCACCCTAGCATATTCTAAAGCAGAAACACTAGGACCTGAATGTTTTCTCAAATGATGACTTGCATCATAAGGTGTTTTAGCAGGAATACAATTATATTGGTTAAACTTCTTAAGAACTTTTTCTACATAATGTGATTGGGTTAAAGTAACTCCTTCGGAATGTGTTACTATTTTAATCCCTAGAATAACATCAGCAACACCCAAATCTTTCATTTCGAAGTGCTTTTTCAGAAACTGTTTAGTCTTATTAATCACATCTAAACTAGTTCCCATTATTAGCATATCATCCACATATAAGCAAATTATAACACCACAATCCCCCACAAATTTGCTATATATGCATTTATCTGCTTCATTTATCACATAACCATTAGATGTCAAGGCAGTATCAAATTTCTCATGCCATTGCTTAGGAGCTTGTTTAAGGCCATAAAGAGATTTTCGAAGTCTACATACTTTATCATCAAGGCCTTCTACCACAAATCCCTCAGGTTGATCCATATAAATCTCTTCTTCTAAATCTCCATATAAAAAGGCAGTCTTGACATCCATTTGATGTATAATAAGATTATGCAATGAAGCAATTGCAACTAACATCCTAATAGAGGTAATTCTAGTAACAGGTGAATATGTATCAAAGAAGTCAACTCCTTCTTTTTGTTTATAGCCTTTAGCTACAAGTCTTGCTTTAAATTTATCAATTGAACCATCAGGTTTCAATTTTTTCTTAAAAATCCATCTACACCCAATGGTTTTACATCCTCTAGGCAAGTCTACTAATTCCCAAGTGTTATTAGACATAATGGAATCATATTCACTATTAATAGCTTCCTTCCAAAATATAGAATCTGGTGAAGACATAGCTTCAACAAATGTACTAGGATCATCCTCTACTAAGTATGTTAGAAAGTCAGGACCAAAAGAAGTAGCAGTCCTAGGTCTTTTGCTTCTCCTAACTTCAGCTTCTTCTAATTCAATAGGCTCTTCTCTAACACTAGGAGGAACACTAAGAGAACTACTTGGTCTTGCAGATTTTTCTTTAAAAGGGAATCTATTTTCAAAAAATTCTGCATCTCTAGTTTCAAAAATTGTGTTCTTTTCAATCAAAATATTTTTAGAGTCAATTACTAAAAATCTGTAGGCATTACTATGAAAAGCATAACCTATGAATACACAATCAACAGTTTTTGGACCAAGTTTAGTTCTCTTAGGTGCTGGAATAGATGCCTTAGCTAAACACCCCCACACTTTAAGATATTTATATGAAGGTATTCTACCTTTCCACAATTCATAAGGGGATTTATCATTTTTCTTACTGGGAATTCTGTTAAGAATATAACATGCAGTAAGAAGTGCTTCTCCCCACATGTTAAAAGGTAATCCAGAAGAGTTTAGCATTGAACTGACCATATCCTTTAGAGTTCTATTTTTCCTTTCAGCTACACCATTAGATTGGGGAGAATATGGTGGAGTAGTCTCATGAATAATACCATTATCAGCACAAAATTTATCAAGCTCACCTGAATATTCTCCTCCCCTATCAGATCTTAAAATTTTAATGGTTTTATCTAACTGATTTTCTACTTCAGTTTTATATGAAATAAATTTTGAATAACTTTCATCCTTACTCTTAAGAAGATAAATGTAACAATAACGAGAGTAATCGTCAATGAAAGTTAAAAAATATTTATTTCCACCACGGGTAACATATCCTTTTAAATCACATAAATCAGAATGTATTAAACTTAAAACTGAAGTAGTTCTATCAACATGTGGAAATGGTTTTCTAGCATACTTAGATTCAATACACGTTTCACATTTTGAGTTTGGGAACTTATCAGTTTTAGGAATGTTTCCCAATCTCATTAATTTTTTAATAGAATTCACGTTAACGTGTCCAAGTCTAGCATGCCATAAATCATAAGAGTCCAGCAAGTAAACAGAAGAAGTAGAAGCTTTATTATTGATCACAGAAACATTTAATTTAAATAGACCCTCATCTGCATACCCTTTCCCAACAAAAGTACCACCCTTAGACATTACAACTTGACCACTCTCAAATACAATTTTAAATCCCTTTTTGACCAAAATAGATCCAGACACTAGATTTTTCCTTATATCAGGTACATAAAGGACATCCTTCAAACTAAGGATATTTCCAGAAGTAAATCTAAGTGTCACAGTTCCTTTCCCCTCGATTTTGGAGGAAGAAGCATTTCCCATGAACAGACATTCTCCATCACTATTAGGAGTGAATGAAGAAAATGCACCTCTCGTGCAGCAAATGTGTTTGGTAGCTCCAGAATCTACCCACCAGTCTGTCATGTTGCTCACTAGATTAACTTCTGTCACCATAGCAGAAAAATTCCCATCTTCTACTATATGTGCCTGATGCTTCACAGTTTTTCCTTTCCTATTTCGACAATCCTTTGCAAAATGACCTGGTTTACCACAAACAAAACAATCACCAATAGTTTTATTTTTAAATTGAGGCTTAGACCGATTGTTCTTTCCTATGAATTGTTTCCCCTTGAATCTGCCTTTAAAATTCTGACTTTTAGTATAATTTCCAACAGCTTTCTTACTATCAGAACCTCCTTCAATAAGATTGGCCTTTGTACCCAAGTCTGGTCTCTCCCTACGTTCTGCCATTCTATTGTCCTCTTCAATCCTAATTCTGATAATCAAATCCTCCAGTGACATTTCTTTTCTTTTATGCTTCAAACTGTTTTTATACTCTTTCCAAGAAGGTGGTAGTTTTTCAATTATAGCAGACACTTGAAAACCTTCACATATTTTATATCCCTCAGCAATAATTTCGTGAATTATAATCTGTAATTCTTCAACTTGACTTACCACCGTTCTAATATCATCCATTTTAAAATCTAAAAATTTTCCCACAACAAATTTCTTAGTTCCAGCATCTTCAGTAGCATATTTCTTTTCTAATGACTTCCATAATTCTTTAGCAGATTTACACGACCAGTAAACATCATATAAATCCAACGTCAAGCAATTCAGAATATAGTTTCTGCACATATAATCATTACGTTCCCAATTAGCTAAATCTGATGTTTCCTTATCAGTAGGCTCATCAGCAATTGCAGAAACAGGTTTATCAGATTCAATAGCATCTACAACTTTAAGAGTTTTCAAATAAAAATGCAATTTCATTTGCCATCTCTTAAAATTCTTTTCATCAAATAATTCAGGCTTTTCAGAATACTTAGGAACATATATATCTACTGCAGCCATTAAAAACGTAATTTTCGCTTTAGATTGTTGGATAAAATAACAGTAAAGTGAAGAAAAACTTATCAATAGATCGAGTCTCGTGACAGCACGATGTCCTAAAGCGAAATTGCCCGTCGATAATTGCTGCGACCTCTGTGGACAATCACCTCCAGGATACAACGATCAAATAAACCAATTGTGCAGCAATCACAAAAGGTTTTTAGAACTCTCAAGTGTACTCCAAAAATTTTTAAAATTAAGAACAATATTTGTACCGTATAGAAATATATAATCTCGTTTTTCTTGTTCTTTTCTAATATCCAAAAGTGTGTTTATATAGGCAGAAAGAGATGTAACTTCTTCCACCATGATCTAGTATTAAGTTGCAGATGTAATGGCCAATGGTAATGGGTATTAATATTGGGCAGTTAAAACTGTCATATTCTACTGGCTAGTTGACCCATTAAATAATTCCGAAAATGATTTAAAAAAAATAATTATTATTTTATTAGAATCAATAAAGCCCAAGACCCAATCAAAGACGTTTTAATATAGTGCGTGAGGCGTGGCTCGAACACCTGACCTCCCACACAAATTCCACACTTTTCACTAGTTGGGCACTTCATCTTAATTAATTATTTCTTTCACATATTATATTTATTGTATAAATATATAACAAAAAATAGAAGGATTGTCGTACTGGAAAGCCATCCTCATGTAGTCTCCAGCACAATCATGGAAGTGTCACTGCAACTTCTAAAAGATTGAGTCAAGATCTGGGGAAGTTGGTAATGCTATGGAGGAGAACAAGAGAAAACGTGGAACTATGGTGTAAAGGACACGAAGATCCAGGTACAAAGGCTTTCGAGCAAACTTGGCAATGGAGGATAAGACTCCTGCTCTAGCTGAACTGCAAAATCAACAATGATGACAGAGATAATATCAAAAATGTTCTTGTTCTATTTTAAGTATTGCGACGGATTCTGATAAGAAGCAGTGAATGGCAGCAAGGTCGAGTACAGAATCAGAATTTAGAGTTACTGCATGTGGTGCCTGTGAATTGCTATGGATAAAATAATCCTCTCAGATGTTAAGAATTGGGAGGACAAATGACACTATTGTTACAAAAAAATCTGCAATAAATACAGACCATGTTCCTGTCCAATAGGACAACCAAACATATCGAATTGGATACAGTTTATGAAAGAAAAAAAGTGCATGCATAAGCTCATTTGCATTCCCAGTGTCTCAAAGAGAAAGGACTTGTGTATATCAAAGAGAGTACCAGCTAAGCCTTTTCATACAATTATAAACAAGCTGGGCATGAAAAATATCTGCACACCAGTTTGAGGGGGATTGTTATAAGGAAAAAGCTTTATTTCCCGGAATGGTATAGGATGTGTATTTAGTATTGTTATTATTGGACCTGTTTTTCTTGTTGTACCTGATTTTATTTTTTATTGAAATTGGTTCGCCTAGAAATAGCTGGATAGCAAGGATAAAGTAAATATTTTTCCCTTTATTAGTTCTCTTGTAGTGCCTATTATAGCTCCTCATACATGTTCTCGATTGATGAATGGAAATACTAACCTATTGTTTCAGACGTTTGCCAAACAATTAAATGGTCCAAACACATTTTAATCCCATTAATCCATTACCAAATGTGCATTTTCCTGACATCATCGTAATATATTTGCATAGAAGAGGAAATTAGCGATCAACGTAAGAAAACATTATTACTACGTTAGATTTCACAAGTATTTATCACTAGTTATTGACCAAAACTGCGTGGCAATAGATTAAATATTTACTCATTTAATTAAACATGTAACGATGTTATCAAATATTCTACACAACGATAACTAAGCCGTACCTTTTTCTTTGTGCAACTCTTTGTAGTAAGAGATTTTTGAACTGACAGCCATGTAAGATCATCATATCCTTCTCTGGTTTTAGCAGAGAACCCTTTTCTTCACAGCAGAAATCCTCAGCTACTTTCTTTGTTGCATCGAAATCGATGGGCTTGTTGATTTGATCACAGTGGTGTAATGTTTTTGTTGAATTTGCGTACTTTCCTTTATTCCTCACATCAGATGTGTTCTTGTTCAATGGTGGTTTGGATGGTAGAAATTGATCAATTTCTCTCTGACCAGCAGCCGCTTCTTGAAGCAAACATTCTTTTAGAACCACACAAAACAAAGGAGCAATATTAATATCACAAATATAATAAACAATCACGTGGGAACCACCTTGTATAAAGGGTTAAGCACTAGATTAGAAATATATTTGTTTATTTAAGTCAAGTCTTGAACATAGCCCCTCGCATGCAGGACAAACTTATTTACATCAAAGTTCTTTCATGTGCAAATTTATTTGATAGTATAATTATTTGAACCATATCATCCAAAAGCTTAAAATTGTAACCATCTTTGTTCATTGTCAAACTTAGGTCCCCAACAAATTTAAGGAGCCATATGATTTATTTTTAGCCATTCAATATAATTAGATAAATTGAAAATGATAATCAAGCACCTTATCAGTACAAGTCTTTTTCGAATGAAATTTTTCATCAGGCAGCCATTAAAAATCATATCCCGCCTATAATCTTAGCTTAGAATTGGGTCTCCTATCCCTTTCTTCATGTACGGAACATTCATACATCCTTGCTTGGTGACATCTAGACTCGTCTGCTGGTTGATGTGATCAATATGTAATATTTTTGATGAATTTCCATTAAAATTCTCTTCATTCCTCACATGGCCCTCATCCCTGTTCACAAGTGATTTTCACTGCCTCGATGGACCAACTTCTCCAAGACCAAAAATAGCTGCTTGGAGCTCTGCAGCATCCTGGCAGAACCACACAAAACCGAAAAAAGACTGTTACTGTCACGTATATAAACCATCAGAATTGATAACAGGAATTCAACATAAATAAACATTTATGCCTTACTAATACTCTACTGTTCAATAGAGTAGCATTAACAAAATCCATAATGATGTAGATGTCTGAAATAGTAGCAAGGTAGACCCTGCAAAATGAGGTTGGGGCTTTCTCCCCCGTTGTACCTCCGGCGTGAGAATCAGTAACAAGTTTTGAGATGTATATATGGAATGCAAATAGTTCGGGTTTTCAAGAAGCTATACATTTTCTCACATTGGGGTATTTATAGGCACCTGATGGCACGCCCCCTGCTCCGCGATTTACGGTGCCACGTGTCCCACGTATGCCTTCCCACTCCCCCACGTTCTATAGCGTTAACACCCACTCGCATTGCGGTTGGTCATGGTCACGTTTGATGTTGGGTGATTTTTGTCTATCTTATGGCCATTTATTTGGCTAAGTACAGTGGGGGTCGACGTCGCTGGCCTCTTAATGGTAGACGGCCCATGTGAGCGTAGAGGACCTCCGGGGGGTCGATGTCACCATGGGGGGGGGTGCATTGAGTAGCGGTCTTCGAGGAAAATCGTTAATACCATCCTATATCAATGTCCAAACATGAGATAATATAGAAACTACCGTTGCCACATCTTGATTCATATCTAGAAATAAAACTGGGGTGTAGAATTAGAAAGCATGAATTGAATAAGCATCATTAAGAACAATTTGAACGGTTTTTGAAGAAGAATTTATTTAACAGTGTGTTATAAAATGATCATGTAGCCTAAATTGTAATATAGGTACTTTCATCACGAAGTGTGAGTTCAAATCCACATCAAAATTTAACATAAGAGTTGCTAAACTAGAAGCAAAAATGAAAATATGTAGACAAGTTATGCCAAAGCAATAATAAGATACAAACACAAGGACAAACCGAGATATAATTCCAATTTATGTATCATGAGACTAAATAAATGAAAATAAATTATTACTGACACCACAAGAGAAAAATTTAAAAGAAAACTTGAGAAAGTTCAACAAAGCTCGAGAGCTTCAACAACATTTGAACAGGTGCTGCTTATTCATCAATGAGAGAGTAAGCTTCGAGAAAACAAGACACTTTTACAATCTTCTAGACTTAACAAGCATGAAAACAATTTATCAGACGTGAAGACATACTAGCATAAATATATGTGATCTAATAGGGATAGTTTAGCATGACAGGCTGGAAGTTCAACAATGACATTTGCAGTTTGGAATGGTAAACCTTTACTAGCAAATTGGTTTAACTTTAGTTAGACAAGGAAATAATAATGTTCCAAAAGCAAAGAAATCTATAGAACTCAAAGAATATGGCCTAAACACATTACCCTATCTGCCAGACAAGGTGATAGAAAGTTTTCATTTTTTCACTTTGAAAGTAGGATCCCTTGATAATTGATATTAAAAAATGTAATTTGTCATCTGTCAAGTAATTTTTCCTACAGAAATACAATCATCTTCTCCACCGAATATCATGGTCATCTTTGTAGACGCTCCCGAAAATCTGCCTTCTTTTGAACCCCTTTTAAGCAAGAATGACTGATACATTCTCCTTCATTACTTGTTCACCCCATGGTTCCATATGATGGGCAAATATTTCAAAGATTTTTTGAAATAATGTTGATTACAGACCATATCAGATTAGATACGATCAAGGATCACTACAATAATTCCTTATTTTTTGTTTCCTTTAATTGAGATTTGTATAGCTAAGTGATAATTGATTATAGTTTTTCCTTGTAGAGAATTTTACAATATCTTGTATTATTCTCAGAATAATTATTCAAATAGAGAATCCTATATCTCTTAAAACCTAATTTCTTTTGTTTTATTAATTCTTTTCGACGTCTGCAGTCATGGAGAAAGCAGTTATAAATGATAAGTACACTAAGAGTTTTTTTCCTTGCATCCTCAAGAAAAACCACAAATTTCTTCTGTCTTCTCCACTAAATGGAGAGAAACTACACAATGCAGAGCAAAGTTGTGATGAAAGCTAAAGTGCGATGAACAAATACGGATTTGTCAATGACCATTTCCAAATCTTCGCTCGAGAAATCCTAAATTTTGCATTCTGAAAGCAATGTGATGATATGGTGACTTCCTGGATCAAAAATGTTATTATCCCGTAGCTTGCAGGCATTGCTATCTCCCCAAAAACAACTAGTGTGGTTCAAATCTTGAAGAAAGATTATCGCAATTTAGAGGTCCAAGAATTTTCAAACTCCAATGATGGTTATGTTCGTGTAATTCCGCAAGTATACTGATCGTAACAAGTAATAAAGTGGATTTATTAAGTTCAAGTATTTGTAGATTTTCCTACAGAGACTATCTACTATCAATTATTAAACTAACCTTGCTTCATTTCAAGTAAAACGGTAATCAATTATCAAATCAAAATGTGGTTTGTAACTAAGTCTACTAAATTAAATAATGAAATCAAATTAACACAATTGAGAAGATTACAAGGTTAGGTAGTTAGGATTTCCGATTTCACTTAGGAAGTTTGACAATCATCTAATTTCAATTCATTCAGCCCCTTTTCATACGTGCGAACGATCGAATTAACCTAATATAGCTAGTGATGTCTCGCGAGCAACACTAACCATAATCATATTCCAGAACTAAGCATTAATAACACAATAAATAATTAACAGGCATTAAAGTGGCATGAAATCTTTAAATTAAACAAACCCTAAGTCACACCGTTAATCCTAACATGAAAATATTTAGCCACTCATAATGTTGGAATTAAACAAATAAAAGTTAACTGACATCACCATGTTGAATTTAAATAAACAAGATAAAAATTCTCCGATCTATTGTTGATCTTCGTAACACGAATCCCAACAATTATTCTTTGTTTTCTTCCTTACGTAATGTAAATCTCTTGTAAATTTGACGAAATGTGATTAATTCTCCAAATGCTTGCATGAATTCTAAATTTAATAATTGAACAAAATTTGGAAAATATATTTATGCCTTTTTACGTCCGTGAGTGTCATGTGTGTGCTTTCTCTCCCTTTTTATTTGATTTTTTTGCCAGCCACCTGTTTGCATCCTAGTAGGACTCTAATAGTCTATGTAATTCTCCTTCCACTTTCCTTGTTTCTGCCTCCAGCTTTTGTAGTCCAAAAGGATTCTAATTCCTTGCAATTTTGATGCCCATCCAATTCTATCCCTTTTTCAATTGGTCCAAGCCCAAATTTGATTTTCATCCAACTTTCGTGCCACCCTCAATACTTATAATTGCGTTCAATGCTTCATATTTTTTTCAAAATGTGCAAGTCAATCCTTGGATTTCTAACATGCGAAATTTGATCCCAAAGTTGTAGATTTTATCCAATTCCATTCTTCTTTATCAATATTAGCTCCAATCTGAGTTTTCTCCTTACATAATAAAAAAACACAAATAATTAAGTATCAAATTCATAATAATACCAATAAAAGCCACTTTTGGTGGCTTAAATAATTGTAAATTTCACACTTATCAGGTTAGTTCCATATTTCAAGGTTCTTGACCATATATAAGTACTTCTCACACAAAGACAAATATTTTCCTCTCACTATCTTTCTTAAGCAAGCAATGCTTGATATGGAATGGAGAGAGGAATGGGAAAAGAAGTTAAAGTTATAGAGGACCATTACACTTGGGAACTCCCTTCTTTGTCCCCAACAAGAAGGCTATAGGTTGTACATGGGTGTTTAAAATAAAAAATGTAATTGTCAGCACTACTGACCATTAAAAAGCCATTTGGTAGCTGAAGTTATGACCAATACGAAAGGCACAACTATTAGGAAACTTTGCACCATCAGTCAATCTAACGAGAACTCTACTAACAATTTCAGGGGTTAAAAACTAGGATCTTCACCAAATTAAGTTATTCTTTCTTGCATAGAGATTCAGCACAAAAAGATTGCATGTAGCTCCCCATGGGGTTTTAAAAATCTAGAAATTAGAATATAGTTTGTAAACTCAAGAAGTCTCTATATAGCTTGAAGCAAGGTTCAGGTCAATGGTTTGCAAAGCTTACTAGTTTATAAAGATTTGGTGATCTATCTTAAAAGTACAACATTTTTAAAAGGAGTCCAAATCCTTATATGTTAGCTATTTATTTCATCTTTAAAAATTATCACTTAACATACCCACAAGATGGTGGCTCGTTAGAGAATATCAAGTTTGGAATTGACGTGCTTGTTTGAATCTGTCACGTCAATTGCTCATTTGAATTTAATGAGCATTTAAGCATATTAAAACATGGGACTCTATCTTAAAAAGTGAACCATGATAAAAGGAGTAGTACAACCCCTTATGTCTTAGTTAGTTAATTCAAATTTAAAATAGGTTTAAAGTAAGGGACCTCGAATATGGGAAATGCTTCATTGATGTTCGAGTTGTACTAATCGCTCACTTTTCCTAGGTAATGGAGAAGTTGATGGAAACATGTCACAAAAGACTACTATGGTAAAGATTGGCTGCCCAGAACTTAGAGGAGGTGCGATGGACAGTTGATGAGATTTAGTATGGATCATACATAGAGAGTAGATGGAGTTGGCTGCTCTCTTGGAGTGTAGGGGTCCATCTAAGATCCCTAGTGCAAAGGATCAACTTCGCCCTTGCAAACAATTTGATACACTATCTCCCCCTGTGCATCTAAAAAGTGGAATTTATGTCGGCCAATGATAAGTTTTCCTTGAGTTGCTTGAAAAGTTCAGTCTCCTTAGCGCATGTCACTTGAAAACACTCATAATATAGAATATGTAGTTAAGTATTGGAGAGTTCATAGTGCATTTTATGTTGATTGGAGATTCTTACATTACGTAAAGGGAATGGTCCACCTGGTTAAGGAATCCTTCTTTTTGCATATAGTTCTTTTCACTTGGCTATGCTTTAGTGACTTAACAACATTCCCATTCTCAACATTCTATCACATGGCATTTTTGATGATTGGAAATTCTTCAATCTCTATGATGGAGTATTGCGAAGTTAGATGAGTGCTTTATTTACTGGAAGATTTTAGCAATGAATTCAGCAGCCAATCTCACATTAAAAAATAGGGGGTTCATTTGCTTTTATCCTATCTAGATAAAAGATTTAAAGGCCGATAAGAAGTTCTTAAGGTATATATTGACTTGGGTTCATGAACAAACTATACATGTAGAAATATTTCGTTGTCTAGTTTTCAAAAAGTACATAAAGGAATTATTTCTACCGAGTTTGTTCATTCTCATAATCAGCTAGCAAGCAGATGATGGTACCAAAGCCTTTGTTGGGGACATCTTCCATCGTTTACTTTCCACAAAAGGCATTCAAGATCTTCACATGCCATCTGAAAGAGGTGGTGTTGGAAATATTATAGATTCCAGATCATAAGCACACAGAATCGAAGGTTGCTACAATCATTGTTTAGTTTAATTTCCTTTAATTGAGATTTTTATAGCTAATTGATAATTGCGTATATAGTTTTCCTTAAATAGGATCAAGTTTATAAAGATTGCACTGAAATAAGCAAGTGTTTCGGGGAAACACATAAATGAGCATTGATTGGTCTATATATACTTCATGTCATGATAGAATAAAAACGAATTATCATTTTTTCCACCATCTTGGATGTGCGGAGCACAAGATGTAGAGTTTATGATTGAAAAACCAAAAAGTCGTGAGGGGTAATAGGGCATATACCATCCCAAAGTGGACAGTACATAAGTTAATGGTTTGGGCACAAAAGTCGGTTCGTTGCAACTTATTTTGTGGTATTCAAGTACTTCTGGAACAACTCCACAAGTAGTGCATCTAGCTCTAGACCCCACATCACCACACATAAATTCACGTCTACAAACACAATACGCATTGAGAGAGCCTTTAAATACTCATCACCAGCCATGCATGACAATTTTCCAAATGCCATCACAGCCGACTGAAAATATTTCTGTACAACAATTGAATGCGAAATATATCAATTGTGCATCAACAATTTCATGTGATTACTTGGAAGAAATGGCAGATATCGATAGATATTAAGTACCTTCATGTTATCATCCTTTAAAGGCTCATTAGGGGCTGATATTCTCAATTTCCCAGTGAAGCACGATGTCACAGAAATCTTGAAGGCTCTTTCAATGCTTAAGGTGTTTGCAGAAGTGAATTTATGTGTGGTGATGTGGGATCTGGAGTTAGATGCACTACTTGTGGAGTTGTTCCAGAAGTTCTTAAATACCACAAAGTTGTAACGACCCGACCTCTGTGCTCAATCTGTTAACTTACGTATTGTCTACTCTGCAAGAGCCATCCCGTCTTATGAACTGAATTGTTATTCTCATTATCTCAGCGAGGCAGTATGTCATTCTATCTGTACAACAATTGAATGCCAAATATATCAATTGTACATCAACGATTTCATGTGATTTCTAAGAAGAAATGGCAGATATTGATAGATGTTATGTACCTTCATGTTATCATCCTTTAAAGGCTCATTAGGGGCTGTTATTCTCTTTATCTCAGTGAGGCGCGATGTAATGAAAATATTGACATCCATCTCTCCTTGTCCCAGAAGTCTCACCAGTGCCTTCTTGGCTAAAGGCAGCACCTTTTTCATTTCGTCTCTCTCTTTTTCTTGTCTTACTTTCGACAATAGATCCTCTAATTTCTATTTGCCCAACAAAAACCAGAAAATTCATTTATGTTAAGCTGGACATAAACATTACCTAAAAAAGAAGGAAAAACAGTTAATGACACAAAGAGTAATGACTTTTCAAAATACTGAAAAGATAATATCGACATTCGTTTTTTACTTTCAAATATCTTCACTCAGTAATGTAGAATTTTGGAGATCAAATATGATGAAAGTAAACAAACATGAAAATGAATCAAAAGGGGAAGACAATTGACGACAAAAAATCATTTACAATCAGGTTTTCTTTGCATTACAAATACCTGATTTTAGATCTAAATAATTATCACATAAGTAGGTTCCAGAGTAAGTATGAATTCATCATTGTAATGAAAAGTTTTTCTGGCTTTCCTCTATTGTCCATTTATACAATCAATTACAAATTCTTCAATACTGCCCGTTGAATGAACCGAAAGTGATTGACAGAATTACGATTACATAAAACACTCCGCTGCCTCTGATGCTTCAATTTTATAAAAATATTTTAACCTGATCTGTCTAGCAGTGGTCAAGACTGGACAGATGTTATACTTTTATACTCTGACTTGTCTTTTATGCATCTACGTTGAGATTTAATCAAAGCACTTCTTCGGGCACTGATGTTGAGGGTTGTAAGGAAATTTACAGTGCTTAGTAAAGGCTGCTGTTACACCCTTCCCACCCCATAGTTCACCAATGAAACAAACCTAATTGTAGCATCTTTTCTCCATCAGTGATTACATGACCAAATTTATACTTCAGTGTAGCCGTATCCCTTAAAAGTTTCCTATGTAATGAACTTCTACATCGTCATAACTCCAGTGAGGCTACCACTTCTAAACCAACAAGTGTTCAGACTAAAGGAACCACTTAGTGAATAAGAAATTTTGGACATCATCAACCCCAACGAGTTTAATTATCTAAAGAATACTTTAACTTCAAATTCTAATCCTTCGCAATTAAACGACAGTAGCTGAATCGTCCATAAACTGAAATCAAGCACATATGGATCTCAAATAATGAAAAGACAATCCACAAAGAGTTTAGTTGTCAAAAAAATTAACTTTAGATTCTCATGCATTGCAGGGCCGGACTTGAGGAGAGGCCCAGAGGCCACGCCTCAGGCCTAGCTTTTTTAGGGCCCATTTTTTTTCTCCCTTTTTTTTATAATAACCTAAGACTTCAGGCCCTTCACTTACCTCCACAGTTGAGAGACAAGTGCAGACGGAAGAACGGCAGTGGAAACTGGAAGGTCCGAGGTCTGAGCTGATGTGGTGGCCATCAAGAAAACCCATCGACACCC